TGCGGCGGCATCCCCGAAGGGAAGCACCGACACAGACGGGCACAGAGACCAACGCTTTGCTGTCCCTCGGCGAGGTTGGCAAGCAAGCGGAAAAACTGAGAACCGGCTGTCCAGGGGGGTCCCTTTAAGCACGAGCCTCAGATAGCCCCAGACAGCAGCCACACAAAGCAACTACTGACCTGATGCCCTGCCAGAACCGGTTTCAGCCGCCCTTAAATGCGCCCCTGCGTCCAATCAGTGTGGACGCGCTAGTTCAAATTAGCAAAACGCTAATTCAAACTAGCTTTTAGTTCTAGATGCGCTAGTTCGAATTAGCTTAGTTCGAATTAACTAATTCGAACTAAGTTAGTTCGAATTAGCGCTGTAGTGTCGACATACCCAAGGTGACCCTGACAAGATTGCCTAAGGTGCTCACTCTTTTCCTCCTAGCTGTGGTTGGCAGTAAACGCTGGGGAGAAACAGCCATCTCCACAAAATGTTCAGTGATTGCCCAGAATTTGAGTAATGATCTTAAATTCATGGCTTGAGAGGGGAAAGGGGTCTAGTTGAACCTCTGCTTATATTCCCTTTGCAAAAGTCTACAAACAGTGATCAGTGAGTTTCATACTGAGAGGTCGGGGCATTGGAATACCACCTGAGAGATTTTAATGTGTCTCTTCAAAACAAAGCACAGATACTCTGTTTAAAGGCAGACACTAAAATAGCAACTTCTCTACATTCATCAGACTTTCTCATTTGTAGTACTACACTGGTGACTCTTGTTCCTAACTGTGATCAGAGCCCTGTTGCACCAGACATAGTGCAAACAGTGAGAGAATTTCAGTGAGAGTTCCATAAAAGGGCAAGGCACAGAAATAATAATATAAGAAACTGAGTGTCCATACTGAGCTTTTGAAAGCAGTTTAAAAAATGTAACCACACATCATGCATTGATTGTAATAACTTTAATTTAAAAGCCATTTTGCCTCCTACTGCTCTTTTAAAAATCTCATCCCTAAATTTTAATCCTGAGGAGAAAGTCAAAGAAGATACAGTGGCATAATTAACCCATTTTAATTTAATAGTCTCAGAAGTTTCCTAAAGAGCAATGAATTGAGCAATATTCATACATACAGATGTTTACATTTTCAGCTGCATAGGGATTGCTATATTTCAGTGGTCTCCAAGATCACTTTTTGAATTTAAGGGCAATCCAAGATCTACCTCAAACCCAAATACCCCTCCCCCTCTTTTGTGCCTCTTCTCTGAGACCCTGCCACTGCTAACTCCATCTTCCCTCCCCCATCTTCCATCACTTTCACCAGGCAGAGGCAGCGGGTTGGGGTACAGGCCCTGGTCTTGGATTAAGGGATTTGGAGTGCAAGAAGGACTCTGAACTGAGCTTGGGGAAGGATGTTGGGGTGTCAGAGGGGGTTCTAGGTGCAGGATCTGGGAGGGTGTTTGGATGCAGAGCTGCTTGGGGCTAGGGCAGGGACCTGGGGTGCAGGAAGGGGGTTCATGACTGGGTAGAGTTTCAAGATGTGGGCTCTGACTTGGCACTGCTTACCTCAGGTGGCAGTGAAATGGGGCTAAGGCAGGCTCACCCCTCCCTGGCCCTGCACCAATCCCAAAAGCAGCCAGCAAACTCCATCCCAAGTCCTGTTGTGCCCCCCACCCTGCTCTGTAGAGATAGGATGGGAGAGGGGGCACCTAGACATCAGCACCCGTCTTCTCCCTCCCCTGCCCTGCATAGCAAGCAGGAAACTCCCAGGGGTGGGAGGAGGCAGCTCCAAGGAAAAGGGCAGGAGATGTGCAGCAATAGGGGGAAGGGGCAGCTGAAGTGTCGGCTCAACATCATTCATTATTTTATATCCTTTCATCGAGTCCTAGCTTATTTGTCTAGTTTCTGTGGTACCCAAGTCCAGTCTTCTCCATTTCTCTTTGTATAAGAGTTTTACCATTCTGTTGATAATTCTCACCACTTTTCCCCAAATCCTATCTGGTTCTGCAGTGTCCTTTTTCTCAGATAGGGTGACCAGTACTGCAGACCACTGTCCTGATGAGATACACCATTGATTTCTTGAAAGCCATTATATTTTCCATATTATTCACCATCCCATCCCTTGTGCATTCTAACATCACGTTTGGTTTTTTGTCTCCAACTGCGTGTTGAGCACAGGTATTTGTTAAGGTGTCTGCAGTAGCTTCCTGACAGGTAGGTGAGTACTTTAACTTTTTCTTTCCAATCTGCATTACTTTGTATTTATTGGCATTGAATTCCATATGCCATCATGTTGCCCATTCATCTTGCTTGTTTTGAGCTCTATGGAATCTGGTTCTGAGTAACCTAAATAACTTTGTGTCCTCTTCAAATTTTGCTTCCTCACAGCTTTCCCCTCCCCCAGATGATTAATAAATATATTAAACAACATGGGACAAGGCTCCCTCCCCCATTAACATTTTGCCATGATAACAATTGACCATTTAATCCTACTCTTTGTTTTCATCTGTTAGCCAATTTTTGTTCCATGGCTATGCTATGCCTCTCATCCTGTGACTAATTAGTAATCTTTAATAGCCTCTTGTGTGGGACCTTGTCAAAGGTCTATGTAAGATATGTTGATCCCAAAGGGCCATCTAACCCTGTATCCTGTCTTCTATCAATTGCCAATGCCAGGTACGCCAGAAGGAATTAACAGAACAGGTAATCATCAAGAGATTCTTCTCTTGTCTCCCATTTCCAACATAATATTCCGCCACAGATGTATAAGTCTTTGTATGAACATTGTGCCTCCACATATCTTTCTCTCTCTCACACATACTATGTGCCACAAACTCTGCAGACAAGGGCTATCTACAATATCCCCCTCCCCCGTCTCCCCCCATAAGCCAGGGAACAAGGGCCCATGATTTCCAACCCCAAATCAAGAGACCTGATCTAATATTCTAACATTTCCCCAGTCGAGGTGTAGAGAACCCTCAATTATTTCCTTTCACCCCAAGTTAAGCAAGGTAACTTCTCTCCTTCCCATTGAGCTACCTCCCTATCCCACCTCCATCAAGGGGGGGAGGGATGCTTTTCTCTCTTCCAACCTGGTAGGGGACATCTGGAGTAGGAGCAGCTGTAGAGTGAACTAAATGGCAGGAACGGAGAGTTGAAGTTGAAGACCCTCACCCAGGCTCTGGTCACACTGCAGTGAGAGATGTGATTGTAGAGCATGTAGTTGTACCCAAGCTAGCTTTAACCAAGCTCACTCTGGTAACGATACGAGTGGTGTTGTGGTAGAACAGACTTCAGCACAGGCTTGTTGCCTGAGTATGTACTTGGGCCCCCATAGATCTTGTACAACCTGTGCCACCATACATGCTGTCACAGAGTCACTGCTAGGGTTATCTAAGCTAGCTGGATTAAACCTATCTTGGATCTATCTGTACATGCTACAACCACACCTCTAATTCCAGGGTTGACATACTCCTAGAGTGAGCAGGATGGAAGGGGGCTGGTTGGTCAGTTTCATGGGAGGAACAGAGGTCCAGCCCTGTAGTGGGCCCAGGCTTTGGCAGTGGCTCTCAACCTTTCTAGACTACTGTGCCCCTTTCAGGAGCCTGATTTGTTGCGCATAACCCCGTGTTTCCCTCACTTAGAAACTACTTACTTACAAAATCAGACATGAAAACACAAGCATGTCAGATCACAGTTACTGAAAAATTGCTGATTTTTTCATTTTTGACTCTGTAATTATACTCTGGTTTCTCTTCATATCGTATAAATCTTTCGCCTTTTAATAAAATAAACCCATTTGTAATATAAATATTGTATTTACATTTCAATGTATAGCATATAAAGCAATATAAACAAGTCATTGCATAAAATTTTAGTTTGCACCAACTTTGCTTTAGATGGAGCCTATTGTAAAGCTAGGCAAATATCTAGTTAATTTGATGGTACCCCCTGCATACTCCTGGTTGAGAACCACTGGCTTAGAGGTTGTCTATTTTCATATTGTCCATTTAGCTCTATCCTTGCTAAATAAAACGTCACCTGCAAAAGTTTCACTTCACTACTCACCCTTTCCCCCAGAAAAAACACAGGTCTTAGCATGCAACTTTGTGGCATCCCACTGTTAACTTTTTGCCATATTGAAAAATTGACCACCCATTGCTACTATCTCTCACCTTTCTGATCCACTCTCTAACCCTGGCCACAAAGGAAATTATGGCCTTAAATAAATTAGGACAGCTAGTGGTTCTTTATCCATTGTTTTGTTGACACACACCAAAAATTCTAGCAGATTACAGAGAAATGTCCCCTCTCCCCCTTATAGAAGCTATTTGGACCCATCTCTACCCTATCACAGTCCCCTAAAATTATTAGTATTACCCTTGACAAGAAGTAGGCTTCTAAAAGTGCCGTTCTCAGCTGTACTTAACAGAAAAAATAATCCCTATGATGATGAGCAAAGAAGAAAGCAAAATGACAAACCAAAAGCTGCTCAAAACCAGAAAGTTGAGGTCTCATACGTTTTCTAGTCTTCAACTATTACAGCAATTTCACTGGGCTAGAAGTATTTTCACCACAGACAAAATGCTGATGCTCCAAAGCATTTGAGCGTGATATATCTTTAAGAACATATCTTTAAGAGTTATTCCACTGACATCATCAAGACTATTCACATGCTTAAAGTCAAGCATATGCTTAAAATGCTTTGGTGAATCAAAGCCTGCAAGCATAAAAAGAGAGCTCTCTTTCATTGCAGCACTTTTATTATACTTGCCACATATACAAAAGTCTGTTTTGAGCAGTATCTGACTACTTGCCAAGACAGAGGGGTAGGGAGGGCTAATAAATCGGGAACCCTCAGGGCTTTATTGGTAGGACTTGTGAATGCTGCAGCTGCTTTCATGTGCACTTTTGCCATCAGTTTCTTAAATGGAGCCTCAAGTTGCAAAATCATCATGTGTTCACAACCCAGTTTAAGTTCCAGAGTACATGTAAATAGCTTGTTAGAACTCAATAACCAGATACCCCTGGTTAAGCCGGAACAAAGGAATTAGGCCAACATGCTGGCATTGGATAGTCTGACTCCTACTGACTCTAGCTTGTCAAAAAGTAAGCAAAATATGTCTCAGTGAGCAGGAATAAAGAAGGGCTGAGACGTTTTACATGAACCCTTTGCTGAGTTATATACTTCGCTTGTTCTTCATTGCTGTCCTTGTCTCAGGTTGTAATAATGTATATTCATATCGTCAGCACTCAGTCTCTCAGTCTGTTCCTATTTATATTAATTTTTAGACTCCCTATCATGATTTTTCTCTTGAATATGCTCACTATAGCTTGCTCAAAAACAAGTAGTCCTATGGCACCTTAGGCTTTGTCTACACAACAACATTATTTCAAAATAACTAGTGTTATTTCGAAATAACATAGTCCGTGTCTACATAGCAGGCAATTATTTTGACATAATGTCAAAATACTGTCAGGCTGGAGGACTTCTTACTCCAACTCCTGTAACCCTCATTTTATGAGTAGTAAGGGAAGTCGGAGGAAGAGTGCTCTATTTCAAAATAAGTGCTGTGTAGACAGCACCAAAACTTGAAATAAGCTATTTCAAAATAAGCTACGCAATTGACTTATTTCGAGTTAAGCCCTGCTGTGAGATGCGCCTGAAAAGACTAACAAAAAATATATAGTATCATGAACTGGGTAAAACCTACTTCTTCAGATGAGCTTGCTCAATGTTTTAAGAGTGCTTACCTATTTAGATCTTGCCATGTCTTTTGCTGGCCCTAATCTAATGCATCACATCTAATAAATAAATTAGAATTGATACAGAAGAAATTCTACAAGTGTGTAGTCGTGTATCTTCCCTATCCACCATGTATCATAATTTCACCTTTGGAGAACAGAGGTGTCAAGGAGGTAGCAGAAATGCTTCCCCCTAAACATTAAACCCCCAAACCACTTGCATGTTAAGACCTTCAGGCATTTCTCTCCCCAGTAAGGAAGTGTCTGGGTAACTATGTGAATTGATGTCATTCCCGTTCAATTAATGTTAAGGATATAATGCTCTTACTACCCTAATTACGTGGAGGTTTGCTAATTTGAAGATTAGCAGCTGCTTTCCTTTTCTGGTTTCCTTCTTTTTGTAAAAGTGAGAGAACTGGAAGGCTATGCTAACAAAATTACAGCAGTGTATCCTCCATTTTTCATTACCAGAACATTGCTACAGGTGAAAAACTGCTTTATCCAGATGAACTTGAAATATTTTAGTACAAGTATAGAAAGAAGCAATGTACAAGTATAGAAAGAAGTGAGATTGTACAAATGCTAAAATACTTGGAAAGGTTGAGCAAAACAGTTCACATATAAGATCATCTTTCCATCCCGGCCTTCCTCTGACAAATTCAAATCCAACCAAACCTTTTCTGAGGTTCAGAAAAGTTCAGATAATTGTTTCTCCCATGTGTTTCCATCTGTGCACTCCTGCTCTTCTGTGTTTTTGTGTGACATGAAAGGGCCAAACCAAACTGAGCCAGATCTTCATCTGATGAAAATCAGCTCCACTAAAGTCAGTGGAGTTATGTTGGTTTAAATAGCTCATTGGGCCCAGGAGATTTTCAGCCCAGCTTCAGATTCAAAGTCAACCTCAAATTGTTGGGTAAACTTTCCACTCAGCCCTTGTTTGAAGCAAACAGCAGACTTTTGACATTCACGCCTCACTGTCAGAAGGAGGCCTTACTCGCCCAAGAGAACCCAAGCAGCAGAATTTGACCCAGGCTATAGATATATTAAAGGTACACAATGGAAGACAACTGTAGTATTTTCAGAGATGTGTGGGAACTATATGCTTCCTTTCTAGCATATTCAGTCAGTGCAACATTCTGATAACCATATACAACAAACCAGTAATCCTGCAAATAAACAACAGCACTGTGCAATTATTGATGGCGCCAGGGCAACTTTTGAGGGCCAGATAAAAAGGAAAGGTATCTAACCAGAATCCTGAGCTTCGCTGAAGATGAACGTGACAATGTCCATTATGAAACTTCATAATGACGATGAAGTTTCAGAGGGGTAGCCATGTTAGTCTGTAACTGAAAAAACTTAAAAAACAATGAATAGTCCCACCACGTCTTAGAGACTAACATAAAATGTAGATAATAGGCAGGTATTTTGTAAGATCTCACGTATGAAATAATATCACACATAGAATTGATGGAAAATTATAACACATGATACTGACTGCCCTGTAAACAGTCCTCTATGCCAAGTTATTTTCTTTGGACATGCTTTCCATCTCAGGTGGTTTGTAGAGTTATCTTTACGTGATCATGTCTGAGGAGAATATTTATGCATTACTGCTCTCAACTGGATGGTCAGCTGTGTATCATCGTCAAGCTTTTGCTAACAGCTAAATAAGGTTCATCTGTTGCTCCAGCTGTAGGGGCCTGTGTGTTTTTGGAGTTGATTTTTGTTACATTGGCACCATTACTGTGGAATTCTGATTCTAGTGTGCAACACAGTAACAATGAAGAAGTCCTAAATGCCTAAAAGTAAGTTGTGAAACTGACTCAGGGTCATTGCTGCCCATACAGAACATTCCAGTCATCATCACATGGGGCGTGGGACGGATAATGAAAGGCTTAACCTAGAAATCTCTAGACATTTTTCAACTACTAGAAAATAGGGTTGAACAAGATCAGAAAAAAGTACATGCGTTGTTCTGGAGTGTGCGTTGGTTTACTTTGTGTGGGCTGTGAAAAAAGCACTATAAGAAAGGAGCTAAAAGTGAAACAGCCCCAATGTATGATTATTAACATTATTGTAAAGAATCCCTTACCTACTCGAAGCTCTTGTCCAAAGACTGTTTTCTCGCCTAGTGCTGAGCAGTTCCACCTGCCATAGCGGAACTGATACTGGCATTCATTGATTCCCATCTGTGCCCCTTCTCCGATCACTATGATGGCATCAGGGCGGCTCTGGCAGATCGCTCGTTGCCGAGGGGCCAAGCCTGGGATTTTGTTGCAGATTATATTTGCTCCTAAAGCCACCACAGATGACAAAGCTCTGAAGAAAAGCAAAAAGAGGAGTTAGACGCTAATTGAGACCATTAACTCCATTTGTTCCACATTGCAGTGTGGCCAACAAGGTAATGTGCAAACAGCAAAAGGTTTGGAAGTTTTGTTCCTATGATTATGCAGACTTATTCCACTCACTTTAGTTGGGCAATTAGGGTGGGAAATCTGGCACCATTTCCAGTAATTTCTGGTTTCATTTGGACCAAAAAGCCCACAGGAACAGTTTCTTTCATGGAATATTGGCAATTCTGCATCTGATCCAGAGGTAAAAGTAAGCAGGTGCACAACTCCAGCAAGAGATGGCTGAGCTGAAGCAAAAGCCAGAAGGGAGCTATCTAAAGAGCTGGCAGGGACTCGGGCTGCAATAGGACAGTACTTGTAAGAAATTTTAAATTACTTTCACTGCTGATCTGGTACCAGATAAAACCAGGAAGTAAAGAGAGGTGGAGAACAATATGGAAAAATGTAAGTCAACAGATCATATAGAGTCTCAAAATTTCAGGTTCATATTAAGGGTTGTTCATAGGTTCAGCCTCTGTATTTAATTTACTAGAGCTAGTTCACCCATCTCCAATTTTAAACCATGGAATAAAATTTACAGAATGACTTTATTCTACTAACATCATTGCCCATTCCTATTAACTTAAAGTACTCAGCAATTAACCAAAGTTTATGAGCATTCATCAAGATATGGCACAAAATCATATTTTCAGATTTGGCAGATGTTTTGGACCATATGAGTACTCACCAACATGCAACATCTAAAACTTTTGTAATTTTATTTTTCAATACATTTTCCGAGCAAGATCTCATTAGTTATAATTCATTATCAAGACTGCACATACTTTGCGTCTGCCCAATGTAAGCCAACTAACAGTTTAAGATTCACAACATTTCCAGTGTAGATGATGATACATTTGTTATTTTACAATTCATTTTTTAACATCTTTATCTAATGCATTTAAAGCAATGTGGTTTTTTATAAAAGACATGGGATAACATTTTCAATAGTCTAATTTTTCAAAAGCTTTCATTAAATGTCAGGTTCCTAAATCACTCTTGCAAATGACTCCTAAGCTCCTAAGTCAGTTAGGTGCTTTTACCCATGGGCTAGAATAGATGGTTAGGAATAGTAGACTATTGGCCGTGAAAAAGTTTCAGATTATATTGCTTAAATTCAGATCCACAGGGAGGAGGTTGCTGATGGTAAGTGGTGCGTTGAGGCATTATGCCTGTTCCATGCATCAATGCACCTAGACACACTTTCTCTAACCTTGTAAAAGCTGGTAGCAAGACCACTGTCCTCTCCTCATACATGCAAATTGGTATGCTGGTACACAGTTGATGGCTGCTTCCTTTCTGGGTTCATGCTGCAGGGAAAGGACTTTATGTGCCATTTACCAAGCTAGCTTACTGTACACTGAAAAATATTGTTCACTTCCTAGAAGTCAAGTGTTTACCACCTTCAAAAGAGACACCATTTTTGACCACCTCAGCAAAGTAGGTGTTCCAGCTGCAGATGGGTAAAGCACTGGGATGTGGCACAGTGACCACAAGAACTGAAGCTGCCTCCTATGTTGGCCTATAAAAGGGTGAACTTTTTTCCTCACCGCCTGGCACACTCATTCAGGGCAGCAACAGTTTAGCCATTGATTAGAGCAGGTCACAAATTTTCTGACAGTTTTGCATAAGAAATACCAAACTTAGCAGTAGCATTATCCATTTAATCTAATATTTTAATGACACACTATTGGCACATTCTCTCAGGTTGATGCATATTGTTTCAACTTTATTATTTTGACTTTTATACTATGAAACAAAATATCTGAATTTCCCACAGAGCAGAGATTTGTCATTTCAACCAGTTCTACCCTTAATCATCAATTCAGCAGATTCCTAAATGGACATTCCATTAAATGTATCCCCGGCTTTTATATATGATTGAATTGTTTGAATTTTAGGAGACCAGAGAAGAGTTAATGTGATAAGAGAGTATATTGTACTGTGTTTCCTTGTAAAATGAGATGGGCCAGAAGTACAAAATTTGGATCCAGATCTGACCCCTCCCAAAGTCTGAGACATGAAGGTTCAGATCTGGAGTTTTGGCTCAGTAGTGCTAGAAGTCCATACACAAACCTTCGACTGAGTCCAAAAATCCCCCAAATTTCTACCAAGGTCTTGCTTAATCTTTAAATTTTGATGCTTTTAAATCAAGGCTTAAATGTTTTCCTAAAAGATATACTGCAGTTCAAACAAGTTATGGTCTTGATGCAGAAATTACTGGATAAAGTTTTCCAACCTATGTTATGCAGGAGGGGTAAGTAAATAATCGTTATGCTCCCCTTTGGCCTTAAAATCTATGAATCTGAAAAAAAACATATAGAGAAGAATTTGAATATTTGGATCAAGCACAGACACCTGAATATTTGGTTTGGGATACAGGCAATTCCTAATGCTACAGAGCAACTAATCCATTTTCTTTCATTATTTATAGTGTTTTTGTCCCTCTGACTATCATGACCGGTGATGCTGGTAGTGTGTGAGATGTGGTCATGTCGTAGTACAAAATGGCTAAAAAAGAGGGGGAAAAAAAGTCTTATGTGACTTACTGGTGAATTATGGTCTCAAAATATTTGCCCTGTGGTTGTTATGAACACGTAAATGCTGGGTCTACTTTCTGAATTGTTAATTTGCAGGTCTTGTCCTTCTATGCCATTCAAGTGGCAATAATGAAAAGACATTTTATGTGCATTGTGTACAGTCAATCATATGAAATTCTAAAGCATGAATATAAAGGACATTATTAGGATGCTGCAGCCAGTGAGTGCCAGAATGCTGCTGTTTAATACCCAGCTAAGTAAATCAATATTGCCGCTTATATGATGGATCACTACTAAAACCACAGTTGACTGCAGGGGGATTCACAGAAGGGATTTGCTGTAATGTAAAACAATGGAGGGAGGGCAACTTTCAAATGTGGTTTTACTCTGAAAATGACTTATTATACACCGCATTGACAGGGTGTCGTGTATTCATTCTAATGGCTCCAGAACAAATCTGCTCAGTTTACAACTGCCAGCTCAGCAAACTCAAGTCTGGGGGCTTGTCTACATGGCACCACAGTACAGATTAGAAGGGTATGAATTCTAGTGTTCTAACATGTTGTGCACTAACTGTCCCATGTAGACCTGCAGGTGCACATCAAAAGGTGCTTAGTACCCATTAATGCAGTCCTGTATGAAACATAATGACATCAGTGTGAAGGAGGGACCCTTTTCTAGTGTGCCAGTGGGATCTGCCCAGGACAGTCAGAGCATGTGAGAGCACTCTGCAGTTCACAGCCCTCTAGTTCATATGGTAATGCCATGTCTTCAAGCCCTGGAATCTCAAAATCAAATGGAGCATCACCACCTGAAATAAAGATTCAACTGGCCACATTCTGTACATCCGTGCAACCTCATTACCTGTACGTAATACAGGTGCGACCCCACTGCATTTAAACAAGTTACACGGCTGCAAATGGAGGCATAACATGGAGACACTGAGGTTACACAAGTGAATCCACAACTGGAATCGAATCAACCATTTTGCTACTGATGGACTAGTCGAAAGAATCTAGATCAGCTGTATTGTTTGTGCAAGGCTGGTAGTGTAAAAACTTTGGTTTTTTTCCCCCCACTGGAGCCAGCAGATGTGACACTAAACAAACACAGGGAGCAGATTAGCTAAACAAGAAGATGATGTTCTCACACTACTCATTTGTTAGTACAGACCTATACTTTTGACTGTGTGGGGCTCCTGGCATCAGAAGATGGGGTTGGTTCAGCACCTCTGTAGGTGAACTGGGCATGCCCCTTCTCTACTCAGTGCCTTCCACCTTTTTAGACTGGCTCTGGCTATCTCTGAGCCCTATTGTGCAGTATGGATTGTGGGCCTGTTGTAGAATTTTCCCTCCTGTGGGCTCTGTTTTCTAGGTTACACCAGTAGAAGTTGTATTATGCACAGCACAAACACTCTCTCTCTCTCTCTCTCTCTCTCTCTCACACACATATATATAGGAGATCCCAGCAGCACTTCTAAATATCAAGTCCAAAAGGTGTCTCAATTTGGGATCTCAGTGAAGGCACCCCACATTATAACTTGGGTCAAAGACAGATATGTATGCAAACAAATAGTGAAATTCTGGCTGCCTTGATGTCAGTAGAAATTTTGCCACTGATGTTACAGGGCCAAGTTTTGCTCAGGCGAGGTCTACACTTCAGGGGAAAGTTGACTTAAGATTTGTAACTCCAACAATGTTAATTACGTAGCTGGATTTGAAGTATCTTAAATTGTGTTTTGTAGTCATCCAGACAGTGGGAGGTCGATGGGAGCACAGGCTCCCATCAACTTCCCTTGCCCCTCATGAGAAGTAGGACTACTGGCACTGACACGAGCCACCCTCTCAGTTCAAAATAGTGGGTCTTCACTAGACCCACTAATTTGAACCCCAGAAGATCAACTGCAGCAGTTTCAATCTTCTCTGTAGTGTAGACAAGTCCTCAGAGAATAGTATGCGCGTCTCACTCTCATGAGCCAAATGTTTCAGATTTGGCCTATAATCTTGGTGCCTCCATTTTTGAATGACTAATCTCAGACTGCTTTTGATATGGTTTTCAGAAGGGCTAAGCCCCTAGCAGCTCTCGTGGTCTTCATCTCAATATGAGCTCCCAAAGCCTGAGGCACCCAAAATCAAAAGATAGTTTCAGCCGCAGTGTATATGCATGCATTAAGATGTGCATTGGTTTCTACCTCTCTGCTGTCTAATAGTTAAGAGTGTGGAATTAATATTCATAATGGTATTCCACTGACTCCGTGTCAAACTTTAGACAAATGACTTTCTTCAGGATGCCTCAATTTCCTCATCTGTAAAATAAGTAGAATCCTATCTGTCTCAAAGGCATTGTGAGGCTTAATTAATTAGTTAATGCTTATAAAGTGGTTTGAGAT